AAAAAAACAAACCCATAATTTCAGATCTTACAACTAGAAGCTCTTGATGCTTAGAGAAAGTCCTGCTTTTAGATGTCAGCTAGACAGTTCAGTGGTATGCATGAGATCTCATCTCCTGCCTACACGAGTGTTTTCTTCCCAGTTCCAGTCAAGTAGAAAGATCACAGACTGCAGCAAGAGTTGTGGACGTGTGGGAAAAGTCAAATTTATTGGACCACTAGTCAGTATCTATCAATACAGTAATTGCTCCTCTCATATACAAAACACCTATCCCTACCTTGCAAGGGAAAATGAATAGTGCATTCAGTTACAGCACAGCTACATCAACTAAACTTTGAAAAACAAGACCTCAAGTCAAACATGGCAATATACCATTCAGAAGCTCAATGAGCGCAGGAATGATTCCAGATTTAGCCAGCAGAGCAGCACAAGAGTCATCCATAGAAACTGTTCCAATCATTATCACCACTTCTAAAATGAGGTCATCTTCTGCAGAACCTGGTAAGTCAGAAGGCAGACAGTATTACCCCTTAGAAATTCTTAATCTCATGGCAGTTGCATATTTACCTGTAGAAGTTATTCTGTTCTTCAGTGTTATGTTTCCCCAAACAATCACAAATTATAAAGGTAAAGAGATTCTACTCTGACAGAGTACTTCAAATATTCTTTGATAGACTCTACTTCGAGAGACTAACCAGACTGTACAGACCTGGTTTGAGTTTATCCTTGAGGTAGGGAACCAGCTTGTACTTCTTCAGCACAAGTTCCCAGTCCAGATCTGGTAAGGTCAAATTTGCAAGTGTTCCCAGGCATTCAATGACAAATTCCTCTTCTTCATCATTTGATACTTGAGCTGCTAAATCACCAACATAGTCCTAAAGAAAATACAGCAACAAACATTACTGGTGCATAACCTGGGTTTCTGAAGAACTCACAATTCGGTCAAAACTAAACCAATTCTCAAAAGAATGCTAAAGGAGACTTTTTTTCCTGAAATGAAGGCAAATTAGGGAGTTTGAATTTCAGTTGAAGAATGAGCCACGAAAACATTTCAGCATTCTTCTTCTCCATCCGCTCACTTTCCAGAGATGTGGATCATTTGTTCAGCTGTTCCAAAAGTAACTATACACACACAGTTTGGGAAAGCTGTTAGAAAATATGGGAAAGAAGACAGCAAAAACCTTACTGTGTTAGTGACAGTAATGGAGTCCTCTTTCTAAAGAGTCTGAGGAATAACTACAAGATTTCCTGGGGACATGAACAAGGGAATTGTAAATTTTACTTGCTAATTGCATACTTCTTTAAGATAATTTGATATTCTATCCTAATTTTGATAGTAAATTTAAAAATTCCCACAATTAGGATGTTGTATGTCCCCCCCTTCTTTTGAAAGGGTGTCTTTTACACGGTTATCTGAATATTAAGCATTCAAAATTTTAAAGTATCCACTTATACAAAACACTTGACACAGGGGAAAAAAAACAGCAACAAAAAAAACCAAACCTACTTTAGTTGGCCCTCTAGCTCTGAAAGCAGAGATTTCGGATATCTGTTAATTGTTATGACGTGCACACCAGCAGCTGGGAAGTTTTTGTTTGCTTGGCTTTGTGTGAGTTGTTTTTTTTTTTTTGGAACAGGGACTTACTGGACACAGCTTAAGATGTTTTCCTTGTAGTGAGAGATCAAAACCATCATCTACCAACTGAGATAGCTTTATAAAACAAAATGTAAATCAATCCATGACAGCCAAGAAAACTTAAACTGGACACCCTGTGAAGACAAACCACAGCAGCTCTCCAGAGCCAGTCTTTTCCAGGAGGAAGAATCAGATATCACATTAGGTACTAGATAACACTTACAATAAACAGGCTTTTTGTTGGCCCATCATGTTGTGAAATATTCCTGATCATCTTCATTAACAATGGGTCCTTAAATTTCAAAGCCCGCTTCATAAGCATTTTCAAACCGTTTCCTGAAAAGAAACACACTCTTAGGAAATCCTCCAAATTAAAAAAAAGAAAAAAAAAGATGAAAGTACTGGCCTACCAAAAAACACAACACATGCAAAAAACCATCTTTAAAAGTTTAAAAAGGAAAAGTGAACAATCTAGACAGGAACTATTTCTTCTTCCAAGTGTAAGTTTAAAAGACAAGACAAGACTTGCTCTGTATAAATTCTATACTTCTCTAAAACAACTGCTGTGACCATATGTACCGGTGGGACACAACGTCAGATAAACAACTACTAAATTTCAGGTGTGCTTAGTTATTTATTCAGACCAAGAAAGGCTCTAAATCCAAACCATTATCCTATCAAGTGCAGTTAGTGGAGCACAGCTGTTCATACCGGCTCAGAGACTTCTCTTGCCACTCCATGGAGGAAATACACTGCTACAGTTTTAAAATAGTATTTACCAGTCATGTAGATCATTACATGGGAATACAGGTAACAGACATACACAGATCTGCAGTACTTGACTGCACAGGGCAAGTCTCACCATTACCATTATGTTTCCAAAAGATCACCTTGCTTATCTAATCAGTGTTACTAGCTTGAATTTCATTTCTGCCTTTAATATAAAATTGGATTTCCCTGCTTCTCCCCCATTTTACAGATGCAGACAATTTTAAAGTGGAATTGGTGGCCATTGACTGCAATTGCCCCTTTTAAAACCTAGTAATTTATTACAGTAGTTCACAGTGAAAATTTTGAGCATACGCGAAAATTAGGGCTACTGAATAATGTTCCACTTAAAACTGCTAGTATGGAAACAGTGAAACTTGAAAAGCAATCTAGAGAGCTACTGACTGAAATGCAGAACCCATCTATACCACGTAACAAAATACCAGAATCCAAAAGATGCTAAAAAAATATAACAGAAAGATACAACTAAACTACACCACTGTGCTATTAGTTTGGTACTCGCAGGTGAAACACTGACTGGCTGAAGACACATTTTAGGCAGCAGGTGAATAAAATCCTGATCTCTCCATACAACCGTAGTTTCCCAGAACTATGTCATCAGTGTGTTTGACAGAACTACGTGTACATGTGAGAGACGTGGGAGTGTGTGTGTACTCAGTGTCACTCCTGCCACCAAGACTGATTTTGGGGATGAGATGGTAATTTACTTGCAGTCATTACACAAATTTAATACACATAGATATATAAATTTATAAATAACTCAAATATACATTCTTTATATATGTAAGCGCATACAAATACACACACTACACACACACTATAAATATGTACATATATAATATACATTTATAATATACATTTATAT